TATTATTTACCTTAATTACATTTTTTGTAACGAGTCTGTAACTTTATTTATATCTCTGAATATATTTCCAGGGACCGTGTCTTATTGCTGAGCGGCATTTACTCCATATCTGTTGGAGGTCTAGTTCAATGCTGTTGCCAAGAATGGGTTCTTGAGTCCATAGAAGAACTGCATATGCTACGGCTGCTTCCGGCTGATACTTCATAGTCGCTGTCATTTTTATTAAGTGTCCCTGAGTAAATGTCATTAGCAGTTGTGATTTTTATAACAGTCAGGAGTTTTCTGAGGCAGTCATGACTTTTTAAATATATTATTTAGTGAAGAAAACCCAAAGTAATCGTGTAATGGCTTAGAATATCCTTGCTTCATTATACACAATTAAATACTTTGTTACTACTGTGTGTGAACCATGAATTTCCCTTCTGCATTTCAAAAGACGTATCAGTTCATCTAAAGAACTATCGATACTTTAATGAGCACATATTTATGTAAAATCCTGTTTGATTAAAATGGGAAAAATCATGCTAATCGAATATGCATAGGAGAGCAGATTTTGTCCATATTTATACTTTTCAAGTTTCTTTGCCAGAAGGCAAGATAGCACATGATGGATTTTTGTTGTTTTGCCCACATGGTTAGTGATATGGATAATGACTTAATAAATTTGTGTGACATAAAAGTATGTTCTACTGCTTCACATTATCCCCTCCCTTTTCTGCAAAGGTACTATTGGCTGGAAGCAAAACATTCTGGTTAGTTTTATATGATAGTCTTCCCTACATAGATTTTTCTATTATGATTGGTTTTATAATCATGAATGGTAAAGGGTGGGTTGAATCAAGGTGAGAGAATATTAAATTGAGCACACCTGCCTGCCACCGCTGTTCCTTCAACTGAGTGCTGCACACCATGGGCTCTGTCTGTGAGAGAAAAATCCCGGTGCTTGGTGTCTTTGCATGACATGGAGTTTTGCATGTAGATCAATTTAAAATGTACCTCTTGTTTACATAATTTGCATAATTTTAAAAGATGATGTTGCCAAACTTTGGAAATGTTAATATTCAAAATGAAACTCTCCACTACATGTAAGTACTTTCTTCCTCTGGGTCAGTACGTGGCTTACAATCGCAGCCCGTGGTTTGATCTGTTCCAGTGTCAACTGCCATGTGCTCTGCTTCAAGAGGGAACTAGTCTTTTGTGAATTTTTTTGTACATAATTATTTGTTACAAATATTTTAGCAAATGCTTTCTATATCTCTTGCTTGTGCATATCTTGGCTGGCGTTGTGGGAAAAAAAAAAATAGTGCGAACTATTTCCTTACTGGGGAATGGGGATTTTCTTTTTTAGTTTGTGTGAGGGAGGCGGGGAGGGCATGGTTTATGTTGAATGTTTAAATTTTCTTCTGCATGATACATGTCATGTTGTGAAATCTTTAGAGAACTTCATACTGTATGAGTAAGAAAATAAAATATTTGAAACTTGCTTGGATGCATTGTCATTTTTGTTGTACTACCACAGTTATAGTCCTGTCCATGCTTTAGGGTTTACAAATTTTGATAAACTTGTTTTGAATCATAAGCTACAGTTGTTTGGAACAAACAAAAAAGCTGATGTTACAGAGTCCTGTGACTCCACTTACCCTTTTTGGCCACTCACTCCCCTGACCTGGGACTACTACAGTGCCTTTGGGATTTGGTTTGCTTTTGTCTCACACCTGTATGCCAGCGCCATACTCAGTAAGTAACGCCTTTAATACTTGGTTCACCTGTGTGTGTGCTGGGTCAAAAGGGGCTTTTCTGACTGCCCTGTTAGAAAATGGAAATACTCTCGGGTCTCCTTTACTCAGTCTTTCCTTTTATTCAGTAGCGTCTTCCGAGCATGGTTTGTCTTCCCTGGCGATAGAATAAAAAGGAATTCTCTACACAGTCGTATTTACTTGTTTAGCAGACACTTCAGTTGCACAATATCACCTGGGTTTCAGTGTTTGATCATTGAGGAAATGAACTGGTATGTGACTCTTGGATATTACAGATTGTAATTCATTCATTTTTCTTCATAAGCTCTCCCTCAACCAAGCTAGTCTTGACTTTTTGTAATCTTCTTGCCTCAGCTTCAGAGTACTGGGATTGCAGACATGTATCACCACCCAGGTTACAAATTTATTAATGTCACTGTTTTAAAGATTTGTTTTTCTAGATGGAAATTCTCTGTGTATACCAAACTGGACTAGAACTCAAGAGATCCCTTGCTTCTGCCTCCCCAGTGCTCGGATGGATTAAAAGCCTGCACTAGCCTGCACCACCTTGCCTGTCATAGTTTTGAGACTACTGCAGAATTCTTGTGTGTTCAGCACTGTAATAGGGTTGAGATACTCATGGCAGGTATTGCTTGCCCAAATGAGTTGTGAGATGTTGGGTATATTTATACCCAGAACATACATACTATGTAATCACAGGTTTCAAGATTGTGCACATTGAATTGTGGGCTCCTACAGAGGATCCTAAAAGAAAATGCCTATTCAGAATGAAATGGAAACTCTTTAAAAAGTAGAAAATACTTGTAACCATGTAGGGAAAAAGGGATTAATAATCAAACCTGAAGGTTTACACAACAGCAATGAAATACCTCATTAAAATATGGATAAAGGAGTGGAGATACACAGATGGCCACTAAGCACAGGAAAAGATGCTCATTATCACTGTCATTAAGGAAATGCAAGTCACAGTGAGATCCACTTCACAAGCATTAGGCTGTTATTACTGTTCTTCCTTGCCCCCCAAAGGAAAGAAAAATGGTATCAGAGTATTGGCTACCACCTTTGTTACTAGTGAAGGCACAGGGATTCAACAGCTAAAGGCTGAAAGCAGTCCAAGTATTGTGGAGGTATTAACACGAAAGAAAATCCCAACACATTCTTTAACATGGATAAGTCCGGTTATGTGAAAAGCTCCACTTTTATATTAATGGGATAATAAAATTCCTAGAGACAAATGCAAAGTGGTTTGTGCCTAAGACAACAGGAAATGGAATTAATGTCAAAAAATTGTACAGAGGTTAAGAAGACAGAACAATGTGATGGTTTCACATTAGTTACTAAGTTGTATTTATAATACAATGGTTAACATGGAAAGCTTTATATATTTTTTATGTGCATTGGTGTTTTGCTATGGTCCCTGAAACTGGAGTTATAGACAGGCATGAGCTGCTATGTGAGTACTGGGAATTGAACCTGGGCCCTCTGGAAGAGCAGTAACTGCTGAGCCACCTCTTTAGCTCTCAAAAAGAATTTTTGTAATGTGTAGAATGTTTTAGAATGGTGTAAACAAGATGGTAGTTTCTGGATAGTTCTCAGGGTGTACAAAGAAAATGGTGTTCAAGCTCATGTCTTGAGATATTCATCGTTAAGTCTTCAAAACTCCCCCACATTCCAGATTCACATTGCTGTAGAGCTGCTGAGAGAGACCTCTTGCCGCCTTTCCCGTCCCTGGTCCCTGTCAGCTAACCAATCCAAATGGCTTGAGTTCTTTAAGCTCCTGGAGATTGTGGTTTCTTTGGCCAAATAAGCAGTGCTTTCCCAAGACAAGTACTTTGCACATGACTGGTCCTTTGCATTTCAGATTGGCTATAATGTAACAAGTGTGTTGCTCCAGTCATAACCTGGCTCTTGGAATAGTACACCTGAGTCTGTTCCCACATGCTCAATAATCATTAACCTTCATCCCTATCACTAGTGCTAGGCAGGCACAAGCCCAAATCTTGTGGAATGCATAAGAATCCCCAAATTGAACCGTAGCTCCTTCTTGCTCATTCTTTCTCTTACTCTCTAGCATTATTTCCCTTTTGAATGCAGAGTAGTACTTGGAAGGAAAAAATGCAAGCATTGTACTTTAACATAGAATCTCAAACTTTCTCAGGCAAGAATTATGTTCTTAACTCTGCTTCAATTTCTTAAACTCCAAACACTGACTGTTATCTGGTCATGGATCACTTTAGATACTTGTAAAAAGCACTAAAACCATAGACGTGATTTCTCAGAAAGGCATATGGTAGCTGCCATCCCATTTTTAATCCCCTCGCTGGGCAGAGTGACAGTGGATCTGTACCTCCTAAATGCTCTATAGGTTCCAGAATACAGAATTCCCAACATATTCTTCCTTTTAATGAGGTTTGATAATATTGAGCATTCTCTCCTTTGGTGGAACACTCCAGCGATTTCCTGTTGCTAGACATCATGCCCAAGGTACAAAGCAGCCAGGATAGTTAGAAATTCCCACTGATAAGAGGGAACCTAAACTTAACAAAACTACTACTAAGCAGGTCATGATAGCACACATTTGTAACCCTGGCACATGGTAGGTTGAGGTAGCAGACTGTTGCAAGTTTTAGGCTAGCGGGGCATGTTGGAGGCCAGCTTGGACTAGCTACATATCCTGTCTCAAAAATTGAGAGGAGCTGGAGAGATGGCTCAGTGGTTAAGAGCACTTGCTGCTCTTCTAGAGGACTGGAGTTTCATTCCCATTCCTAGAACCCACATCAGGCTTACAACCATCTGTAAGTACAGGGGGATGCCAATACATGTGGCAGGCACATGTGCGCTTGAGCACACGCATGCACACAAAGTTCACGTAAATAAAATTTATCCTGGGTGTGGTAGTGTACACCTTGAATTCCAGCACTCAGGAGGCAGAAGCAGGGGTTCAGCTAGCTGGGACTACACAGTAACATCTATTTTCAAACACACACCATCTTTACTAGAGCTGGCTCAAAGGTGAAAAGCTTTTGTTAACCTTTTATACTTGGTCCCAGAAAATGTAGTGACTCACAACCTTATCTGATGACTCCAGTTTGATGCATATACCTAGATGCATAAAATACTCATAAATATTTAGCAAATTTTAAAAAGTTAAAAATTTAATACTACTTTGTTTAGTTATTGCATGAATTTCCTGATATTCCAATCATTGGTCAAACAAAATATCGGAGAAACAAGAGACAGTAGTACCTAAATCTCATGTTTAATGAAATAGGTTCTAAACAATATAAGAAATAAGCAAATTCATATACACAGACACTAGTTACAAGAATATACTGTTTGGAAAACATAATCCTCTTGGGAAAACTGTTTCACTTTCATTACTTATTTGAAAAGTAATTTATTAGCCTTGTGGTGCAGGGCTTACAGTTCATAAAATGCATTGAGTATAAAGATCGCAAGGATCAACAGTGCAGACTATTGTTATGACCCAACCCTGAAGCAGTCGCAGTGCCCTATACCAAGGACTTGATTTGCAGGTCTTTGAGATTTTTAATTAAAATTTACAGGGAAAAAAATGCTTGTAAGTTTAGTTACAAATCTGTCTTAAGAAGCTGCTTCTAAATGGCAAGATTTTAAACTGCAAGTCTGCCCCATGTGAAAAACAGTCATTTACATTCAATGTGTTAAGTATTAACAGCATTAATTTTCATATTTAAATTATTCCAGAAGCAGGAGAGTGCAAGTCCTGTTAAGCCTTCCCTTTCTGCTTCTGCTTTGGGCTGAGATGTGGAAAGAAACCTGAGCTGTAGGTGGCTGGGAAATCTTCCCATGGATTTATGTGAACATCTCAAGAGTTGAGGGGAATCAGAACCGGTCCGCTGATCTGCTGGCCACAGCTCGGATATTGCCATAAACCTTCGATGGAGGATTTCCTGTAAAGAAAAAAAGCACCTTAGGTATACAAACATTTTCAAACAGAGAGAACTACGTAGAAGACAAATACTTTGCATTCTTAAGAGAAATCAGAGTTGTGAAAGCAGCATTTCACAAAGAAGCCTGCCAGCCTGCCCTGAACACGAGGGAAAACCCCAGTCCTCTGAGAAAGTTGCCATGACTCTAGAACTAGATCAAATTAAATCAAGTTGACTACATGTGTTGAGCAACCCCCATTCTATAGAACTGAACTAAAATGTTTGGAGTGGCTTTTCTGTGTACTTCTTAGGGAAAGTAATAGATTTATTTATTTCTCTGTGGAGCTCTGAAGCCTGTCTGGCACTCACTCTGTAGACCAGGCTGGTCTCAAACTCAGAGATCCGCCTGTCTCTGCCTCCCGAGTGCTGGGATTAAAGGCAACAGAGATTTTGATATAATCAATAAACCCTTTCTCTTCTCTAACAAACAGAATCTAAGTAAAATAGTCCTGTTTTTCCCTTCACTACCTCTTTGACTTCTGTTGGGTGTATTTAACAATATGAAAGCAGCTTTGTAAAGATGGCCTGAATTCCTCTATTCTGTAATCAGAGAAAACACCAAAGAAATAAACTGCTATTACCTAGGATGAGGTTGCAGATGGCAGTCCGTGCCATCTTGATGTTTTGGAAAGAGCCGAGAATGTGAACTTTCCTGAAAGAATATGTGAGTCAGGTTAGCCAGGAACAGCATGTTCGTACCACAACAGGGGAACTAACAACTCTGGAAATGACAGTAGATCTATACTCTAAACCAAGGGCATGGGGTGATGGCTGACAACTTCCTAAATCTTCTAAAACCACTTCGAAAATGAGTGACTTGTGATATATCCCCACAAAAAAATTATCAAAAAGACAAATAATTAAGAACAGATTTTAAATTCCTTTTACTTGGCAGTTTTTGCATGTTTACACCAGCCTCGGTGTAAACACGCAGTGATCCTCCCACCTGCCTCCTGAGGGCTGAGATTATAGGCATGCGCCGACATTTTCACATTCCTGGTCACTGGCTGTGTGTAAAGGTAATGCCGCCCAGCCTGACAACCTGAGTTTGATCCCTGAAGCCATGCAACAGAAGTTGTCCTCTGCCCTACATTCAGATGCTAAGGCACATGACCCACACAAACACAAAGACTGATGGCCAATAGTTGTTCTCACCCAGGGAGTCCTCCAAGTTTACGCTTGTAGCCCTCAAAGGACCATTCCCAGGTAGATATTATTCCTACTGTATATGAGGGAAGGAACTTTCCAGAAATCAGGAGACTTAGGGCTGGAGATGTAGCTCTGAAGCACACACCCTGCCTAGTGGAGGCCCTGAATTTCATCCTGAGCAATGAGGACAGGAAAAGACAGAGGACACCAACGGAGAAGGCACAGAAGCCCAGAAAGCTTAGACCATTTAACTGCTCATGACATAGCCAGAACTGTAACACTAATTCACTTATTACAGTCTTTCAATTTCAACTTACAAAGCTATGAAAAAACTTTTATAGAGGCTTTTATATTTACATATATTAAATGACACTGTTTTACATTTGGGGGATTTAATGCTTCTGACTCCAAAAAAATCATCACATAAAAAGCCCAAAGCTAGACGTGGGATACTGACTGAGTTGTTGGCTGGGTACTATATTCCCCCAAAGTATCCAGGCTACTAAGAGTGCTGCTGGTTACCTACCAGATTTGATTCTAATACCCTACTACTGAAGACAGAGAAATCGAGCTGGTATTACCTGGAAGCATCCCTCTACTTGCTAGCCTTTATAGTGATAAAAGATGCTCTACACCCGGGCTGCCAAAGGAGGAAAGTCACAGGTTTAACTCAGATATGAAGCCCCACTCCCTTACAATAATGACCAACCTGGCAAGATGGGCTCACTAATATAATGGTGCCATCAATTTTATGGAGTAAGCAACTGCTTCCTGACTTGTTTTAATGTCCACTCCACAGATGGAACTCAAACCTAGTACTGTAAACTTGGCAAAGAATCTGCTGGGGCGGGTGATGGGACACGCAGGACCGAGGAAGAACCTACTACTATAGTTTTCCTAAGTAGCACAAACCACCTTCTGGCTACTTCTCTGTGTACCCACAGATCAATGCGGCTCTCACCCTCACCAGAGAAGCTTCTTTTTTTGCAGTAGACAGCAGAGACTCAGAGTTGTTCAGGGTAGAAAGTGAGCAACTGCAGACCGCTGGGCCCTAAGCGAGGTGTCGGCATCACTTGCCCTTCCCACATGACTTACAGAGCATCGAAGGATGTAAGAGCTAGAACTTGGCAAGGCCTCCTGCAAAGCAGGGTTTTCTGGGTATGGCAGGGCAGTTGCACTCATGAACTCACAACAGCTGTGGTTGCCTGCATAAAACCTGCACATGATCAAGCCAGTCAAAACTCCAGCATGAAGAAGGCAGTGCTACCGTGCGTAGGTTTAGATGCATGGAAAGTGTCATTAAACATAAACATTCTCTCCCCTTTGGTGTTTTAAGTATATCAAGACAGAAAATTGTCTTTATTTTTTTTGTATCTTGCTTTCATTATTCTGTGTACTGCCAAGTTATCAGCAACTTCATAAAAATACCAGATGTCCTCCTCTGGGTCTAGCCTGGTAAGTGTAATCATTACCCCTCATAAAGGAAAGTTCTCTTTGCAACAGAGACCACTACAGAAAACTACAACCTATCAATGTGTAGAGTTGTAGAGCCCATCCCAAAGGATACATCCACAAACTCCCACCCCTAAGGCTCAAGGAACTGTGGAAAAGAAGGCAGCAAGACTGCAAGAGCTAGAGGATCAGAGGTTTGCTGTGAGATTGTGTCTACTAACATCAGAAACAACACTCAAATCTCACCAACATGACTGCCCATGATCGGAACAAGGACAACACCAACAGGCCTGCTAAAGTAGATGGGGAAAAGCCCATGAGGTCTCAACTACAAGCAACAGTAACACTGGGAGCAGGAAAAATATCTTCCCCAGCGAAAAGCATACCAATTGGTTATCTCTGAATAACAATACCAAATGGTTAGCTCTGAAAACATAAAAGTAACATTAAGCAGATTGAGCAGTTTTTATTTAGGAATATATATATGTACACACATATATGCAGGCAATAACAATTAAAAACAATTGCCATAAGTTTGAAAAAGAAGGGTATATGACAGGATTTGGTAGAAAAGAAAAAGTGTAATTCTATTACAATTTCAAAAAATTTCTAAATGTAACAACAAAAAACAATTATTGTTACAACTTAAATCTAATCGCGAAAGATATAAAAGTACCTTTACACCAGCATTGGTCATAATGGCTCCAAAATGAAATATCCCCAATGTCCATCAGCTGTAATTAGAATGCTAATTGGCTATTTAAAAGAAAAAAGGGGGAGGGGAGTGGAAATACTGTTGTACCCAACAAAACGAAGACACTCGAAGCAATTAACAAAAAGGACACACACTGGGCATCCATTTAGTTTCTGAAAATGGCAAACCCAGTGGTAGGAAGTCGAGCGGTGGCTGACTGGGACAGCGCAGTAACGGACTGATGAAATGATTCGGGGAACTGTGATGAAATGATGTGAAGAAATGATGCAGGGAACTGTGATGAAATGATGTGAAGAAATGATGTAAAGAAATGATGTGATGAAATGATGTGATGAAATGATGCGGGAACTGTAAAGAAATGATGTGAAGAAACGATGCGGGGAACTGTGATGAAATGATGTGAAGAAATGATGTGAAGAAACGATGTGAAGAAACGATGTGAAGAAACGATGTGAAGAAACGATGTGAAGAAACGATGTGAAGAAACGATGTGAAGAAACGATGTGAAGAAACGATGTGAAGAAACGATGTGAAGAAACGATGCGGGGAACTGTGCTGAGCACTGTGGGTGTGGCAGGACTAAGGCCTGCTATGCTGAGTAGCCCATTAGACCGACACCACTCACAGGTGAATTTACTAATGTAAACTACCAAAAATACCCCTTTTCAAACAACATTTACAGAAAATTTTACGACATTTAAATTTGTAGTTTATAAAGTTAATTAAAAACTAGTCACAAGTTCATTAGCGAGTAGGTTCTAGCTTTGGTTTTCTCAAAACAAAAACTTTTAGGCTAGGTTCAGCCATTTTAAATACTGTTATTTCTGTGTCTTTGAATTTCCGGTAGAAAAAAAAACCAACACAAAAAACTCTCAGGTTAGCCAGGTGGTGGCGGCGCTCGCCTTTAATCCCAGCACTCAGGAGGCAGAGGCAGGCGGATCTCTGTGAGTTCAGACAAGTCTAGTACACAAGAGCTAGTTCCAGGACAGCCTCCAAAGCCACAGAGAAACCCCGTTTCGAATACCCCCCAAAAAAACAAAAACACCCTCAGGTTTCAGATTCTTAAGGCTCAATCTATAAAAGAACAGAACTATGATAATATATTTGGCTTCAAGTAGGGCCACCAATATACAACAGTTACCCTTAAGTACAAAGAATGCCTACATTAATGTTGTCTAAATAATGATGTTTAGAGCAAAATGGTATTAGATGAGATCCTCACCCTGTCAACTGCTACTTGCCAACTTCATAGTCTATCAAGTCTGAGACATCTGCCTGTTTAACACCAACAGGGGAACAGAACAGCTCTGTCCTCATAGCCAGCACTCTAACGCCCCCCTTTAAAACCTGTTTCTATTGGGCCACACCCCCCCACTCCCCTTCCCTCCATCCTTCAATGCCCTTCTTAAGGTGGGTGCTCTCAGCTCTGCATCCAGAACCCCATCCTCGCCCTAAACCTGTATCATCGTATTTATACTCACCCGGAACTGTCTGACTCAATATGCAATATTCACCTTCCTATTACGAAAGGTATGTGTGTACTCCTACATGAAATATAGATATACATTCTAAAGGAAAGCCTCACAATGACGTAGCAAACACCTACTATTTGTACTTCCCTTAATGATTTAATCGATCTGCCTGAGACAGAATTTAAAGCTTCCCTTGTAAGAAGTCATTTTAATAGTGAATCTAACATTTCTGTTATTGTGAATGGGGAAACAAGCAAACAAACTATAATTACTGAATTTCCTTGTTCATCTAGCACCACACACCCACAAAGACCCAATGGCAAGCATGTAGGCTAAACACAAGTACTATAAAGCAGTGGTGTGGTATTTGACCAGAATGCACAAAGTCCTAGGTTCAATCCCTCATACAAAAACAAAAAACAAAAAAAAAAAAAAAAAAAAACACACACAACAACAAATATAACAGCTATGACTTTTTTTAAACTGGTACGATCAATTATAAATCGTGAAAATTTTCTCAAGACAAGATACTTACACATCCGCCAAAACAATCCGTGTCCGAGTCACATTCTCTATGGTAAATTTGGTTTTCCCTCCTTTGCCAGCAATTCTTCCTATTGCCCTTGACAGGTGATCTCCTTTTAGGGGCTTAACTAAAAAAGAAAGACCATATCAGGTGGCTAGCTAGAGTTTTTCTACTAAACACTAAATACACATTTTCTGAAGTGTTAGTAACACAACTCAATTGAAGCTATGAGAAAACCAGTCACAACACAATGCAACCAGAAACACAAAGGCTGACTGCCACATAAGACGACCACATGCTCCTCTCACCGTCAGTTATTTCAAAAGACTCGAGGAAGAGGTCATCCAGCCTGATAAGGGCAAGCGCATCCTACAAAACAAAAGCACACTCCATCAAGGCCTTTTCGGTAGACACCTGGCAGTGACAGCATTTTTGCAACTAAAGTTCAGACACTCCAATGACAAGATCAAAGGTTTGGAAAATGACCCTATCTACTGAAATGCCCACACTGTATGTATTTTGAAGTGAGACCACTCACCTCCACCTGAAACCCGAGAACAAAGGCTTTCACAAAATCGGCTGCTTTTGTCAGGGAACTGACATCCTTGGTGTCTTTGCAAGTCTGGAAAAAAAAAAAAAGGTACAGACATGGAAGGGATGGAAAAGAAAGCTTTCTACCAAAATACTAGAAATGATATTTTTATTATAATTTCCTTCATCATCAACCACCGTCCCCCAGTAGCTTGACCTGTTTTATGTGTGACAAGCTTTGTCTTTGTTTTGTACAAGAGAACCTTTCTGCTCCAAAGCTGGGCAATTCTAGGCAAACCCCTCAAATGGCAAAACATACTCTATGACTGGTCGAGGTTAGTGGCAGCATCTCTAGCATAGCCCAAGAGCTCAAGCCCATTCTGTACTCTTCTTCGTCATCAAGGAAGATTTCTCCAAAGGGCTCTGACCTAACGTCTGTCCTAAATATGCTGTTGTTTCCCAAATCAACAACTCCAGATCTGACTACTTGCATGCCTGGTGCCGAGGAAGTCAGGAACAGCTTAAATGGGAATCCTGTCTGCAATTACTTGGACAACAGAAACAGCTGTTAATCATAGAACACCCACCACTGTAAACAATATGCTTTACACATCGAGCTCTACGGTTCACATTGACAACCCTGAATGTTTTATAATATAAACATTCGAGGAAATTGAGGTACTTTAAACTCAAACACAGTCTAATTTCTAAAATATTCATTCTGGTCTTCCACATAAATGTGCAACCCATCTGAAGAGATCACACCTTTGACAAACTTAAAAGCATACAGGATTGTATTACTAGGATTTTAACACTTAAAAACAGAATCCAGCAGGGCAGAATTGCACACGCCTTTAAGCCCAGCACCCTTCAGACTTCTTTGAGTTCCGGGCCAGCCAGGGCTACACAATGAAACAGCCTCAAAAAAAAAAAAAAAACAAAAAAACAAAAAAAACAAACAAAACTCCAGACTCAGGGTCCCACTGTGTATGTGACTTTTGGCAAGTCCCATAAATTTTCTAGGATTTTAAGTTTTCCATCGATAAAATAACATGTCAGTCTAGAAGATCCTATATGGACCTTTCTAGCACTACAATTCAATTATTAGATTAATGACTCTGGTCAAGGCACTGAATTTCTTTTCTTTTCTTTTTCCTGAGACAGGGTTTCTGTTGCTTTGAAGGCTGTCCTGGAACTAGCTCTTGTAGACCAGGCTGGTCTCGAACTGACAGAGACCCGCCTGCCTCAGCCTCCCGAGTACTGCGATTAAAGGTGTGGGCTATCACCACCCAGTTGGCACTGAATTTCTTTACCCTTCCATTGCCTCATTCCTCGGCACGCCTAGGGGTTGGGGGGAGGGGGTGTTGTCATCTAAATTATACTTTAATGACCTAATGACATCTACCTCAAGCTAACACACTATGCATCTGATATACGGTATCATCAACACATGCTTGAGAATGCCAGCTCTCCGATCCTGCAATAAACAGGACAGCTAAGCACAACAGAAATGTATAAACTTCTAAAGAGAACATGCTTGAGCGGGACACCGAAAGCGGTCTGGGGCCGATGTGGGAAGAGAATGGAGAAAAAGAATCTTCTTCAGACATTCAGAGGGCAAAGCCAGCAAAAGTACCAGCAGGGAGAAAATGGGGAGAAACAATCACGACTCGGTCTCCTACTCAAAAGCCAGGCTCAGTGAAGCATCTGGCTTTTATCCCTTTGAAATGCTGGGGATGACAGAGCATCAAAATAGAAGCACTGTGACCTGGGAAAATTAATTTGGCACAGAAGATCTATTGAGGAAAGGAGTGATTTAATGAGAAAAAATACATTAATAACACATATTTCCTAAAAAAAAAAAAGTACCATTAAAATTGACAGCACTTACACTGTAAGTAGGTCCCTGCAGTTACCACCTATGAAGGTACATCCATGTACCATTCTCCACCTCTCATCAACTCAACATGTTACAAAAGACAAGTTACAGGATACACAATACATCGGCGCCACCTCAGAGCCAACGCAGTCAACACCCGTGCTGCCTACAGGTACTCGGTTAAGCTCAAACGCACTGTCTACAACAAACACTCCAGTAAGGAAAACGCATTCGTCTATTTCCAGTTCTGACGGAGAAAGAAAACTCGGTGGGCGGCGGCGAAGCGGCTAACCACCCCCCCCCCCCCACCCTGCTTACCCTGATTTCCACATTCCTGGACTTGAGGTTAAAGCGAATCTGAAGCCCCAAATGCTCCACTATCGGGGTAAATATCTTCATCCAGTTTTCTTTCAGCGGTGTGTATCTGTTCGCGGGGACGGGGATCTTCCTCGTCTCCTCTTTCCCGGTCTGCGACAGAGCACACACAGTCAGGAGGGGACTGGAGACTTAACCAGACCGGAATCCTCCACCCGGCCCCGCCGCGCCCCGCCCCGCCCGCCCGGGTCCGCACCAGGAGCTGCTCGCCCGAGAGCGGCGGGAAGACCGGCCTCTTCGCCGGCCGCGCCTCCTCCGTGTCCATGCGGCCGGCGTCTCCGTCCTGTCCCGCCGCTGACGGCTGCTCGGCCTGTCGCTTCTTCGCCCGTCGGCCCGCTCTGTGCGTGACTGGGGTGAAGCCGTCGTCCGCCCCGGCGCTCTGCGTCTCCATCTCGGCCATGCTCGAACCCGGCGGAGAACGCCCAGCCGCGCCCGCACACGTGCGCAGGCTGCGCGGCGCACGCGCAGGCCTCCACCAATCAACGTGAGGGCGCCGCCCCTTTCCGGAGGTGGGGCCCCGGCCGGGGGTCCTGAGGCGGGATTGGTCCGCGTGCCTGCCCGGCTGCCCTACGAGGTGCCTGCTTGTCTGGGTCGCCATCGCCTCCGCGCGCTCGCAGCTGAGGCGTTCTCGGCCTCTGATGTGTCTCTGTGGAAACGCCGTGGTCAGGGCAGGAGGTCTCGGCTTGTGCCGCGTGTGGAGAAGCATCGGGTGCGACCTCGGCAGCTCACCCGGCATTGTCAGAGGCACCCAAGCCCGACTGGCTAGAGCGTCCGGGCCGAGCGCGGCCAGGGAGGGGCAAACTGCCCCTGCGATGTTTGCAGCCGGGTTTCCAGGTTAGCGTTTCGCCCGCGTCTGCACCATGTCGGCGTTTGAGAAGCCTCAGGTCATTGTCCACATCCAGAAAGGCCTCAACTACACGGTGTTCGACTGCAAGTGGGTGCCCTGCAGTGCCAAGTTCGTAACGATGGGCAACTTCGCCCGGGGCACCGGCGTTATCCAGGTGTACGAGATCCAGCGCGGGGACCTGAAACTGCTGCGGGAGGTGGGTGCAGGGCTGGAGCGCTGTCAGGGTGCGCGTGTTCCCCGGGGTGTGCTTCGCCGCAGCCTCGCCCCAACAGGACCAGAGATCGCAGACCGAGAAACACTATGGATTGAAAACGTTGGCATCCCCCAGTCTCACTGGACAACTAGCGCCTTGGCTTACTCCCGCCGTTCTTGGTTCAGTCCCTTGCAAGGTTTCTGGGAGGCGAAGCTGAGATTTCACGTTTGCGTTCGAGGCCCCTTTAGGCTGTTTGCAATTGTTGTGGTCTGCTAGGACACATAGGCGATGCATGCACGCTTCATGCCAGCAGAGTCAAGGAACCACCGGGTCACCTACAGCGAAGTTTGTGGAGACAACCAAGTACCCCATTTCTTTCTAGAACATATCACTTGAATGCCTGGCAATCCCAGGCATGTGAAGGGCAATTTCACGGGTCTTAGGGAATTTTCTGTTGGGGAGATAGTTAAACAGCCAAACCAAGAACGCATAAATGTAAATCAAAATGCGTTTTCTAATACACACAGTTCAACGAGAGTAAAAACGACAGATTTAGGATGAGCAGAAACTAGGGAAAGTCGGAGTAGAGTATGAAATTTCCAGAAGAAATAGGTTGTGGGAAAGCTCTTTGATAGTGGTGGGAGGTAGTTTATTATCTTTTAAAAAAAAACAAAAACACACATTGGAAGTGGTGGTGCACACCTATAATCCCAGAACCCAGGAGGTAGAAACTGCAGAATTTCTGTTTGAGACCGTGCCTGAACAACAATCACAAAACCCACTAAGAAAGATCATACACATACAAGAGGGGTAAGTAGGGACCTTTGCAAGGTCTCTTAAGACATTTAACAGCTTTAGTCTTCCTTTTCCTCTAAGAAAAACAGGACAAGACTGAAAGACTTTCAGGAGGATGGTACAAGACCAGATTTACAGGTTTTATAAAAGGCTGCAGGTGAGCCAATTACAAAATGATGAAAATAATTAACATTTCATTTTCTTTCTTTTTGAGATGGGTATTCTCTGTGTTATCCAGTTGGCCTCAAATTTATAAATCTCATGCCAGCACCCAACAGTGGCCTGGGATTACAGGCCATGTGTTGTGGTGCTGAGCTGTGGCTAACAGTTTTATGGTTAGTTATAGTTTTTAAAAATGTTTCGATTTGGGTTGACTAAAACAAATAACCAGCCTCATTGAGGTGTTGAGGGTTGGTAAGTATGCAAGGAGTTGGTTTGAAGGAGGTGACTTTAGGGCAGGTAGCCGATAAATAAGCTTGCATGAGAGGCGTGTGAAGTGCCATCTCTTCACTGAGCTTTGCTGAGAGCCCGTTTTCAAGTTTTGTTCATGCTTTAGCCAGACATTCAGCTTGGAGAATCTAAGCATGGCTTGGTCTTTTCTCCCTTGCTTGCGTTCACCACTTAACTCACAGACACCTGTTGCTGTTCCAGCGGCCAGTTCAGATTCTCGGATCTGCATTACTATGATACTGACCCTCTGTGCCAGAAGTGAACAGATTGATTTTTGTAGATTGTTAAGTTGGACAGCAAGGACAGTGTCTCCTAGTGGTTTGAAAAGGACCAGCCCCTCAATACACATTTATTAAAAGAATGGGGGGTGAATGAGCTTGGGAGTTTTGAATACTGGTGTAGGTTAAGGACTCTGGACATGGGAAACATTGGCATAACAGAAACTCTGAAATGGAACATTAGGAGCAAATGCCAGTCAGTACTCAGCTAGACTTGTGTTTTGTTTTCCGGAGAGTTATGATACATTTTTAAATTTTTTACAGGTTACTTATTTGCTATATCCATTGGTCTTTTGCCATGGTTGTTGGGTCCCCTGGAACTGGAGTTACAGACAGTTGTGAGCTACCACGTGGATGCTGTGAATTAAACCTGGATCGCCTGGAAGAGCAGTCTGTGCTCTTAACTACTGAGCCATCTCTCCAGCCCTGAATTATGATCCATTTATATTTCAGTAATAGTTATTCCAAGTGAAATAGTGTTCTTCTCTTCTAATTTTTGAAGAAGTCTAGCAAAGTTGTATTGTATTTTCTTTAAATGAAAGTAAAAAGTGTTTATAAGAGAACATTTAGAAAATATAGATAGGACTAAAAAAGAGAGTATCACACATGATCTGAACCCCAAGAGTAACAACTCTTTTGGATCCTCTTCATTCCATGAGTTACTGAAGCTCCTGTAGAGGTGCTGTGCCCAAACAGAACAGTTCCTTCTAAAAAGCAAGTAAAACCTTAGAAACAAGGCTCCTTTCAGGACTTAATATTGTGTTTGTTTGGGTGCAGCAGAAAAGCGTGCAGGTTAAATGCATGGCCAGTGGCTCTCCTGTGTCCAAGTTCTCTATCCGTGTTTGGTTGCTAGTGAGAGCTATGTAGGTTTTAAAATATCCATGTCTTGTTCCCACCCCTAGCAATGTGAACTTCTGCTGGTTGAGTTTAATGAGCACCAGAACTGAGACTATTGGACCTGGTAGATTACTTACCTCAATAGGAGGAGACATACTCTTTTTTTTTTTTTTGTTTTTTTGTTTTTTTGTTTTTTTGTTTTTCGAGACAGGGTTTCTCTGTGGCTTTGGAGGCTGTCCTGGAACTCGCTCTGTAGACCAGGCTGGCCTCGAACTCACAGAGATCCGCCTGCCTCTGCCTCCCAAGTGCTGGGATTAAAGGCGTGCGCCACCAACGCCCGGCCTGAGACATACTCATTTTGTTATGATGAATTACTACAAGACTCGCTCCAAAGCCAGTTCACCCAAGATACATGTAAAAGGAACAAGTTGACTATTTCCTCTCTTGGGCTTCATCTTATTGCTAAAAGAATGGATACAAATGAAGAGCAGGAACCTGGGCAGTCTGGCACACATCATTAATACCAGTACTTGGGAGGCAGAGGTAGGAGAATCTCTTATGAGTTTGAGAACAGGCTGGTCTACATAGTGAATTCTAGAACAACCAGGGCTGCATAGTGAGATCCTGTCTCAACAAAAATAAAAAAAATTAAATAGAAAGGGGAGGAGGGGACCGGAGAGGTGATCTAGGGGTTGAACACACTGTGGCTTCTCTTCCAGATGACCCAGGTTTGATTCCCAGCGTAGCTCACAACTGTCTGTAACTTCAATTCTAGGGGCACTGAGGTCTCTTCTCATTTCCTTCAGCACCAGTCATGCTTCTAATGCACAGGCATAAATGCAGGCAAAATATCTATACACAGAAAATTAAAGAAACAGAGGGTAGGGCCTCCTTCTCTAGCTGAACACTTTGTTGAGCCACATAACAGTGTCCAGCCAAGTGTCCCTTCATCTTTTTGGTTTTTCAAGGCAAGGTTTCTCTGTGGCTTTGGAGGCTGTCCTGGAACTAGCTCTTGTAGACCAGGCTGGTCTGGAACTCACAGAGACCTGCCTGCCTCTGCTGGGATTAAAGGCGTGCGCAGCCAGCCAGCCAGCCAGCCAGCCACACACACACACACACACACACACACACACACACACACACACACACACACACACACACACCCCGCCCCCTTCATCATTCTTATGTGAGATTTGAGCTTTTCTAATGTACACACAGGTAGCATATAGACAAAGACAGCCCTGTAAATGAAGCCCTGGTTGAAAGTTGGTAGTGAGCTAGTAAAGTTTTGGTGTTTTAGTGCCTGAGCTACTGATTTCACTGCTTAACATTCGCCTGACTAAACCTTTTAATGTTAATTAAGTAGTGCCAGGATGTGGAGGAGGAAATACTGACAAGCTGCTGTAGACCCACCCACAGCAGAGCAAAAATAGCTCTGGGGCAATTATTGATCATGGACTTCTTTAGTCATGCTAACATACACTTCAGGCAAAGAATATAAAAAACTAGGCCAAGTAAACTATTATTGATGGTCATGCTCGATATCATACGTTTATCAATTTCTTATGCTGATTTTTGTGTGAAGTTTAACCAAATCGGCCATTGTTGTATTTTTAACCAATTAGTATTCTATTGAATTTACCACTGCATTCTACTCGTCTTTGCATAGGACAGTGTTGAAAGGGGAGTCATTTTGTGTGCTGTATATGAGCACACAAAGGGAGTCTGTGTGCCCTTGCTGACTGATTTCTGTGAATGTCTGAGCGTGAAAGAACATGACTGGTTTCTGAGGTCCAGGTACAACAGAGCTCAGCCTCTCTGAGCAAAGTGTTTTGACTTTAATTCTTGAACAAAAAACTAGTAATACCTAAGTTTCTATTTCTTTGATACAAAAACAGAAACCCTGAGAGAAGCATAATACTATGTATTTATCTTGCAAAAATTATAAAGAGGGGTTAAAAAAAGTGGAAAAATCTGCAATTAGCTTTCATTCATTCCTCCACCATTTTGTTCACGTTTCCAGGTTTACAACTTTTATTTTATTTTTTTGATACT